GTCCAGTAGAGCCCAGTAGAGTCCAGTAGAACCCAGTAGAGTCCAGTAGAGTCCAGTAAAGCCCAGTAGAGTCCAGTAGAACCCAGTAGAGCCCAGTAGAGCCCAGCAGAGTCCAGTAGAGCCCAGTAGAGCCCAGTAGAGTCCAGTAGAGCCCAGTAGAGTCCAGTAGAGCCCAGTAGAGTCCAGTAGAATCCAGTATCTTACCGTCTTTGTGAGCCATGAAGTCATAATGTTTCTTCCTGAAGTAAACCGAGAATCTGCCTTTGTCCTGTTTTTTCACATTGGTGATGCTGGACACATGAAACAGCACCTCACTGAACCGGTCCTGATCAACAAAACAAATGCACTCATCATTCTGGTGACGGGCAGAGGGGCAGACAGGTGTATGCAGAGAGACAGGTAAGATAAGTTCACTCACTGTGCGTTTTTTCCACAGAGACATCAGCTGTCCGTCCAGTGTCGCCCATAAAACACTGTGTCTATCGTAGAAAGACAGAAGATGTGTTTTAGTCTCTGAAGCTGCCAGTCCTCCATCTGTCCATGTTCCCCACACGATAGCTAACCTTAACCCTAACCCAACCATCGGCTGTCCTGGAGTTCCTCAGGGATCAGTCCTGGGTTTACCCATGATCCCACTGGGTCACATAATTCTCTACCACTACCAGCCAGGTCACAGTGACTCATGTTTCTGTAAACCCACAGCAATGACTGGTGTAGGATCAGTAACATTCTGACGCTACACATTAGACTTCACTGACGCACTTTGTCCAGCTGATAAAACTTGATTTATGTGTTTAAATGACTGAATCTGAAGCAGGATAGTAGAATCTGAACCTGTGTGTTACCTGAAGCCCTTCCAGACGTCCAGCCAGCTGGCTCGAACCACGGCACTCTGAGCAGCCAAACTCCCACTGCCCCCCTTCTTCCTCGACACCCGGATGGTGGCCGCCCTACAATACAAACACAGTTCGCTCTTCAGCTTCTTCATCAGAGTCAGCTCAGCCTCAACAGGAGGATGACCATGGACTCTGGCTGAAAGCTGAAAGCCTCTTACCTTGGGATCTTCTGTTTCACAGGTTTTCCTGATTGGCCAGCTGTGCGAGGAGGGGGCGGGGCTGGTCGAGTGGGGATGAGCCGACCCAAATGCTTGGATGAGACACTGTAAAGCAGTTGCACACTGTCAGTAGTGCTGGTTTTAGCAGCTGGAGTAGGACTGTTGTAGATACACACTTGTTGGTATTTGTAGAGTTGGGATCATCTTCCATTACTCCCTCAGTTCCAGAGGGGGCGGGATTTATCCCTGTTTCTTCTTCCTCATTGGATGACTCAGTGTCCACTTCCTCTTGGTTCGTCCAACAGGCCAACACGGTCACATACGGGTTTTCTTCTTTGGTGGTGCGAGAAGATGAAGTCAAACCTGGGACCAGAACCAAGAGACCTGAATCAGCTTTAGCACAGGAGGGCGAAGCTCAGCAGGACAAAGACGGACAACCAGGACAAAGCTCAGGAGGACAAAGACGGAAAACCAGGACAAAACTCAGGAGGACAAAGACGGAAAACCAGGACACGAAGCTCAGGAGGACAAAGACGGACAACCAGGACACAAAGCTCAGCAGGACAAAGACACAGTCCTCCAGTACCTTCCTCAGTTTCCTCTGTGGACTCCGCAGTGCTCTTTACAGATGGTAATATGACGTCTGCAGTCGGATCTAAAACTGACGTCACCAGCTGAGACAGGAGTCCAACATCTGGACAAAAGTTCAGTCCAACACAGAGACACATGGTACGTGTTAGTACACTGCTGACCAGCACTGACTGCTCACGCACACACACATATCCATACACCCTCATCTGGCTGGTTGGTTGATTGATTGGTTTGTTGTACCTGTGTGAGCGTCTCCAGCAATCTTTGGGAGTGTACGGAGTTTATCCTCTGAGAGGGGTGGGGCCGAAGGGGCGGAGCTAATAGCAGGGTTAGGCACACCACTAACAATCCCTGTTAAACTGGGTATGTTAGCTAGTGAGCTGACAATGCTGTCTAAATTAGCAGTACCTGTGTTATCTGCAGGAACAAGTGCAGCAGAGAGGGAGGTCTGTGCAGCCGCACTGGGGTTAGCCACAGCGCTAGCAGCTTCTGCTAGGCCAGGAATGTTGGTGGCGATGCTGTCAGCCATACTATTTAAGGAGGGGGGGGCTAAGGGGGCTGAGGGGGCGGAGCTTCCGATGGCTGTGGCAATTCCAGCCAGTGATGGAATGTTGGTGGCGATGAGGTCAGCAACGCCAGCCAAACTTGGGAAGACGGCACCATGATCACCAGGAGGAGGAGCTTCTTCATCTGAGGACACAGTGACATCATCATCAGACATCACCTGATAGGCTAAGACACCTGTCAATTAAACATACCTTCATGAAGTCAGTCTCTATTACAGATCGTACAGAGACTCGCGAAGCAACAGAGATACAGCAAACCAGAATAGAATATGACAATAAATTTACAAAAGATATGAACAAGTTTGGGCTGCAGGGTGGCGCAGTTGGTAGCACTGTCGCCTCGCAGCTAGAAGGTCGCCGGTTGGCGTCCTGGTGAGGACACCCGGGATCTTCCTGCGTGGAGTCTCCATGTTCTCCCCGTGCAGCGTGGGTTCTCTCCGGGTTCTCCGGCTTCCTCCCACAGTCCAGAAACATGCTGAGGTTAATTGGTGATTGTAAATTGTCCGTAGGTGTGAATGTGAGTGTGCTTGGTTGTCTGTCTCTAAGTGTAGCCCTGTGATAGGCTGGTTACCTGTCCATGTGAACCTGCCTTCACCCTGAGTCAGCTCGGATAGACTCCGCCCCCAATGACCCCAGTGAGGATTAAGTGGTGTATAGATGATGGATGGATGAACACGTTAAACAGGAAACAAGACTAAATCATGGGAATACAACTTGAAAAAGCCTGTGGGAGACACCCACGGGACGGGAGGTGACCTACACCAAAAACCAAAACCAAAACTTTATGTGAATTTAACAATTTAAGAAATAAATTTACAATACGGGAATTGATTTGCTCGGAGGGAACTAACCAGGGCGTCGTATGACCAAGATAGGAAAGCTGGTCCACTTGATTCAGGCAAATATGTACACAAGGTACAAACAGTCTACTCATGCACACAAAGAACCTACCAAACCAGAGAGAGAGTGGGAACTTAGCTGATGGCAAGGGAACGGTGAGGGACTAGAGTGTAGGCGTAGGGGGCGTGTGGCATGGCTGTGGGAGTGGCGACGGCAGGTGCTGAATCCAGGCGGAGGTGTAATGATCAGAATCTGGAGGTGACCAGGTGGCGACTGTAGGTTCGGCAGAAGTTCCAGGCATGTAGCAGGCAGAGACCTGAGAACGAAGGCACAGAAAAAGCAGGTTTGTAACTGAGGTAACAGACTTGAGCATAAAGCAGAGACTTGGCCTTGAGTAGGACTAACTGGAGTCGTTTACGGTCCGGCGTCGAATAGTGGTCTGAGTCATGCTTTATGGCAGCGGGTTGAGTAGTAGCAGGTGGACCACTCCATCCACAGGTGAGTTCACTCAGGTGATTAGCCAGTCATCAGTACCTGCCAGGACTCCACGCACACACGCCACGCCCACGCCCACCTGGGTAAGGGTAGAGAGAAAGGAGGGGGAAGGGAGAGACTGCCACCTCACCGAGCTGGAGGTAGAGGGCGTGACGCTTTCACAGTAAGAGTAAGATCTGCAAGAGCTGAGAGCGAACGGAGGATCCACATCAAACTGTTTCATGGTGTGAATCCTTTACCTGATGTGACCTTTCCTGTCTTTTATTGTGTGAAATATTTAAGATAAAGATATGACCTTTGCTGTTTGTACTTTGAGCTGAGATTAGATCACCAGCCGTCAGCAGACAAACTGGTTTGAGCTGATCACCAGTTTGTTTTAATCTGCCTCAACAAACTGGTTTGACTGTTCATGCTAGAAACACTTCGACAGCAGATGGGCTAAAAATAATCTGGATCCACAGCTTCTCGTCGAGCTGCTGAAGGCTGCAGTCGAACACACGAAATCACTGCAGCAGCCAAACAAGTTTTGACACTTTGCTGTTTCTGTGGAGTTGACTTTAGCGTCTTGTCCTGAGAGCTTATTGGAAGGGTTAGGGTTATAAACCCTGCTCTGATTCGTTGCAGCCATTGTGCTGTTTCACCGTTTCACCAACAGACTCGACTGTTTTCGGTTTCAGCTGCTGCGGACTGCAGTCCGTCTCCATGGAAACCACACTGAGGTCTGGAGCATCAGCAGCTGAGAAACGTGAAACTGAAAGTTTCTCAGAACTTCTCTCTTTGGTGTGAAGTTTCAGATTCAGTCCTGCAGTGAATCTGAACATTTTTCTGTTCTGATGTATGCTGAACGACAGTTATTCTCACTGAACAAACAGTTAACATTCTGACCAATCACAGTCTGCGGCGCTGCCAGGTGGAGCGACACTGCTGCGTGGGACACAAACAGCAGCTGATAACGTTGTTCAGGTTCATTATAATAAAATGTAATTTGATCCAAACTGTGACCCAGACCTGCTGATGTCATCGCCCCTCAAAGCGTCATGTGACCGCCACCATCATGGCATCAAAAACACCTGACATAGAAGACACCTGGAGACATTCAAACCTATTCAATGACCTCACCTGTCATGTGACGCTGATGTCACTGTGACATGACCACATGACTCTGTGTGCGTCTGTGTGTGTACCTGTGCTCAGGTGAGCTCCGTTGGAAAACTCTGCCTGTAGATTTTCTCCAGTCACATCTCTGGAACACAGAGTTTCTCATCGTCATTAGAATCCAACAATCGATGGAACACGTCCATTTGAAAGGTGAACTCACCTGTCCAGAGAGGAGGCGGAGCTCCAGCTGTCCCTCAGGTATCGCGCTCGAGGTTTCGGGACGGGGGGAGGAGTCATCTGTGCAATGGGCGGAGCCTGTTAATGATCAATTACCAAACAGGAGGCATTATCACCTCCGAGCAACCAAACCATAAATCTGATTGGACGCTGCTGTCTGAAGGACACACTCGAGTATTGATCCGTTCTTATCGATTCAGCACCACAATCAATAACTGATGTCAGCTGCAGTGAAGAATCACGTAGATCCACAAGCTGACAACACAAACAAACATAAAACCACAAAAACAAACAACATCACAAACACAACTAAACAAAAACAACACAACAAATAAAACCAACTGATAACCACACAAATAAACACAAAACAACAAACAATACAAAACAACACAAACAACATAAAGACAACTAAACTAAAAAAATATAAATAAAAACAACTGAAAACAACACAAATAAACACAAACAACAAAAACGATCTGTCCTCTTACCTTTTTGTCAGCTCCTGTGTCAGTACACCTGAGACACCTGTTCTTTACTGTTCTTTACCTGGATCTCTGTCCGGTGTCGGTGTGTGTCGGTGTGTGTGTTCCTGGGTGTGTGTGCGCCTGGGTGTGTGTCGGTGTGTGTCACATGTTGCAACTTCGTCTTCACTCATAAACTCTTTGTGTTTGGCTGCTGCTGTCTCTGTGTCTCTGTGAGGACCTGAGGTGTGTCTGTGTGTGTGTGTGTGTGTGTGTGTGTGTGTGTGGTTGTTTGTTATGTTTTAAAAATGAACACAAAAACCCCACAAAGACAGGAAAGATTTCTGAATAATATGTTGGTTTGTTTCCAGCTCAAACCATCGATCAGCTGATTTAATCACCAAAGTTTTACAGTGAAA